GCTATTTTGTCCCGTTTAATCCCAGAGACTGAGCCCTCTTTTCTATAAGAATTCTTCGAGATAATTGGGACTAAACTCAAGTGTTGAGTGGGCACGGGAAAAAGGGCTTACAAGTGAGATTTTTGCTCCTTCTGGTCGTGGAAAATCCATCTTTAATCGTCTCATATCGGCTTAGAGATTTTTCTCCCTAACATCATTCTCCCTAAGGTACCGAGACCTGGATGGGTTAATGACTTCAGCTGTTACTAATAACCTTCCAAAGAGAAAAATATTGAAAGATTCTTGAATAATAGGACTAAACAAAAAACACCTAGTTACAACATAGTTTCTAGAATGAATATGGGACGTGTTCTCGAGCTCTTCACAATAAACTTCTAACATTACAAATGCGTTCTAAACGACCCCAGTTTGCAAAACAATCTGAACACTGCATTACTGAAGGCTGGATTTCAGTTAAATGAAGTGACAATGTGAGACCTCTACCCAGTCCTTTAAATGTGTGTGTGAAAGTCGAGGACGAGTCAGACGCTGAAACTGCTAAATACTCGTACTCTGATGGAGTGATGATATGGAGCTGCTTTACTGAATTAAATAGTTCATTACCACTAATTTATTTAGCTATCTAAACTTTGCGGCCCAGTCCTTGAACCCATTATGAGCCTCTGTAATCTTTTTACTACAGCTCACAGGATGGGTATGGGGTGCATAATATATTAAACTAACTTTAGTGGATTAAAGGGTCGAGGGAATTATGGTTCCTGCCCTAAATCACTACAACGAACAGAACTCATTAAGATGTGCTTATGGAACATTTCCTCACATTCCACAAGATTAATGTCACTACACACTTCGTGTGTGCCGTGAAAGTTCTCTGTACACTCTCCAGGTCAGCAATTTCGCCTGCCTTGAAGGGGGCAGTTAGTGTACAGCAGTATTCTCTAGGCTGGAATACTGCTGTACATTAACTGCCCCCTTCAAGGCAGGCGAAATTGCTGACCTGGAGAGTGTACAGAGAACTTTATCGTACTTATGTGTGCCGTGAAAGCACCTAAATTACTGGGAACGGTTGAAGTCCCGTTATTTGTATTCCCTGGAGTGCAGGAGAGAAAGATACATGATAATATACACTTGGAAAATCCTAGCGGGATTAGTACAAACTTGCACAACAAAATTACTCCCTATGAAAGCAAAAGACTCGGCAGGAGATGCAACATTCCCCCAATGAAAAGCAGGGGCGCCACAAGTACACTGAGAGGTAACACTATAAGTGTCAGGGGCCCAAGACTGTTCAACTGCCTCCCAGCATACATAAGGGGCATTACCAATAGACCCCTGGCTGTCTTCAAGGCGCTGGACAGACCCAAATTCAGTACCTGACTAGCCGACTGTGGTTCTCATGTCAGTTTGCGTGCGACCAGCAGTAACAGCCTGGTTGATCAGACCCTGATCCACCACGTCCTGGTCTCAGACCGGGCCGAGGGGGGCGATGACCCCCGAAACTCTCTCCGTTAATTGGTTAATAAATATTAACCAATTAATATGCCACATATAATGTGAAGGTGCAAGCTGGCCCTAGAGTGGCTGCTTTTTCAATGTAATTTAAATACCCTTAAACAGCAGGTTGAGCAGCCTTTAGGAGCCAGAACTTTTTATTTAAGTTAGGCCAGCCAAAAAGTCATAACATTGGGAAGAAACCAATGAAAGCACCACGTTTAGTACGCTTATCATGGAAAAAAAAAAAGAAGTGGATGCGATCGTCTTTATTAGTGAATTTCCTGCAAACCTGAAATTTGAGGGAGTTTTGGATTTTAAAAAGTTTAAAGTCAAAGAATAGTGTATCATTCTGATCTTTTTCAAGGGTAAACTGGATCGAAGGTTTTATTAGACGAAGGTAGGTATTAAATAGTTTCAGGTTAAATCACCTAGATGTTACCAGAAGAATGTCATCAACGTATTGTAGCCAGGTTATAGTAGAAGGTATGATTGTAAAATCTTTTTTTTTTTTCAGTGACTCCATATTCAAATTGGAGAGTATGGCATTGATGGGGGACCCAGTGCCATGCCGTAGTTCCGTTTGTAGATGTTGTTAAGGGTGAAGTAATTGAATTTGCTGAAAGACTAAGATAGAGTGACCTCTAGCAAGACTGAAGCCGATCAAGCTTGAGCTGTATCTTTTTTTTTTTTTTTTGCAGAGTAAAGACAGCTTGGTCAGCAGGAACTAGTTTCAACAAACATTCGACATATAGATTACCTAGCTTCCTGTGTATGTTAATTCCACTGAGTTTGTAAAGTAGGTCACTCAACAGGCAAGGTGGGTGATGCTTATGGCACCTAGAAGCTCTGACATATTGACTCACGAAATCGTAAGAATACGGTTGCAAACAACTCGCAAAATAAGTGAGGATAGAATCCATGGCAGGATAGTCCTCAAACTCGCATACTAGTGTGGCTGGCCTGTGAGTTTTAGGGCTCACCTGCTACAGGTCCTGTGATTTTACTTTTTACACACGTTTTTCAAGTAGTCCTGCCAGTTAGTGTGGTACATTGACAATGCCAGATGGGCCATGGATATCATCGGGATTGTAAAGTTGTCTTGAGGAGGCTGTACACCCTGGCCAGTTTGGTATTTCAGGATCCTGTGTTGGTGTACCGGTGATGGTCGTCCATCTTCCTGATATAGTATTTCCTATTGACAACATCTCTGCCTTTGTCGACAGAAGAGATCATGATGTTTGGGTTCTGGACAATTTTCATGAGCCCTGATGTTCCTGGTATTACTGGATGAGTGGGCTCGTGGAGTGCTGCTGTAAATATGTCGTCTATGTAGCTTTTTTGAAATCAGAGTCGAAGAAGTGGTAGTCTCGTGTAATAAGACCAGTGTGTTAAGCTGATTGAGTCTTGTAACAAATCTGAGTCCTAGTTCTTCAGCCTCTCTTGGAAAGTGTGGCTGAAAAAAGTTAGTGATGATTTCAAGACTGCTGACCAGACTAGGTATGGTGGATGCAGAGGCGGCGGAGCTTCCGCTCGAGTTTGTTGGTCTGTAACTCGTTGGTATCTAAATCCTTGACTTTATATGTTATTTTATTTCGAGAAATTCCAAACCAACCAGCATATACAGCCTCCCTACAAAACAATATTAACATTCGCTGACACCCACATATTATCGACACAGATGATACCTGACCCCGACTTCTTCGTTTCACCACTTACCTTATCTGTATATAATGTCCTGTCGCATCCCTCCCTATATGACTTAACAGGACTCTACTCGGAGTGAATCATCATCTATAACAAGGTTTCGCTCTTTGCCATGTGCCTTTTTTACCATACCTGTTGGCATAAACTGCTGCAATGCCATGATAGAACTCGTCCAGTGCAGCAAGTAGTACCTGCCAATGTTTAATTTACCCCCCCCCCCCACACACAAAAAAAAATATGGCTGGCCATGGAGAACAGTAGCAAATAATGTACGAGTCCACAATAATGGACAGGAGGAGGTAAATATATCCTTATTAATTAACGCCACAACTCTTCTCACTTTCGTGATAGCTGTTTCTTTTCTCTTACAAATCATCATAACTTGCTTACTGCTCATCTCATAATTTCTGACCTTTGATGTTTCACTATCACATATGACAAATTTATTGCAAAAATATTTTTAATGCATATTTTTTTACTTGAGTGGTTCATGGTTTGCTTATTTTCTGCCTACACTGCCATTGCCTACACTGCCATTGCCTACACTGCCATTGCCTACACTGCCATTGCCTACACTGCCATTGCCTACACTGCCATTGCCTACATTGCCAGTGCCTACACTGCCATTGCCTACATTGTCATTGCCTACACTGCCATTGCCTACACTGCCATTGCCTACACTGCCACTGCCTACATTGCCACTGCCTACACTGCCATTGCCTACATTGCCACTGCCTACACTGCCATTGCCTACATTGCCATTGCCTACATTGCCACTGCCTACACTGCCATTGCCTACAATGCCACTGTCTACACTGCCATTGCCTACATTGCCACTGTCTACACTGCCATTGCCTACATTGCCACTGCCTACACTGCCATTGCCTACATTGCCACTGCCTACACTGCCATTGCCTACATTGCCACTGCCTACACTGCCATTGCCTACATTGCCACTGCCTACACTGCCATTGCCTACACTGCCATTGCCTACACTGCCACTGCCTACACTGCCACTGCCTACACTGCCACTGTCTACATTGCCACTGCCTACACTGCCACTGTCTACATTGCCACTGTCTACATTGCCACTGCCTACACTGCCACTGCCTACACTGTCATTGCCTACATTGCCTACATTGCCACTGCCACTGCCTACACTGCCATTGCCTACACTGCCACTGCCTACACTGCCACTGCCTACAGTCTACACTGCCACTGCCTACACTGCCACTGCCTACACTGCCACTGCCTACAATGCCACTGCCTACAATGCCACTGCCTACACTGCCATAAATGTTGGAAGCTGTGTTCATTATCGTCGTCGTCGTTGCAGGAACTGTTATTGCCATTGTTTTATATATAATAAGAGTTGTGGATAATGTATATTAACGAGGCCAGTACCATACAGTATTTAATATTAAAGCAAGATGTAGTTATCAACAAAGCTCTGAGAAAATATTTATTGATACTTTACAATGAAACAGTAAATAATTTTAGTATCTATTAATTAAAAACATTATATCAATAAAAATAAACAATAATATGGTATTACAAATATATAATTAAACATCTATAAATCAGAACACAAATGTATAATAAAACTTGTGATTGGCACACAAGTGTAGACAGAGCAGAAGTTGAACACTGTGTATCTCACCTTAAGAGCTGCTCAAGTTTCCTGAAGAGGGTCTCATGAGTCCAAAACATCCAATACTCATCCTTCTGTTGTACTGGCTCCATAAGGGAGCTTTTGTACCAATTTTATATATGACAAAAAGGTAAGGAATGTGAGAACTCACCCGACTGGTCTCTTGGCACCGACACTGTCAGCCAGAGAGGCGAGGAGGAACTAGAGTTGTATATCCTGAGTGTGGTTGCTGCCTCACCCCACAGTGGCCCACCCACCGTAGCTACAGCCGCCCACATCTCTCCATGACACACGTCCCTCACCCACCACCCTCGCAAGAAATCTTCCATAAAGTTGTTGGTCTCTTCATCAAGAAAGAACCGCCAGTCACCCTGTAGACGAGTGTCTCAGTGACTGCGCCTCACATCCATCGTGTCTTAAAAGTTCTATTATTATTGTGTACAACAGTGCTAATGATTTTGGTATGTGTGTGTTTGTTTACAAGTTCAATTTGTATGTATATTTCAGTTTTTTTTTCAGATGACGTAAAAATGCTTTACCAATTTTTTTAGAATGTGATTTTAAAAATATTTATTTCATTAAGCAACAGTACGAAAAAAATATAACAATAAAAAGTTATACAACGCTCAGGGAAATATAGTAACTAAATGTATGTCATTTATAAAGAATACTTGTTAATAATTTATTTACATAGTAGGTCACATTAACAGAAGAGCTGATACACACACACAACAATGTCATAAAGACAAGAGGACAACAGACAGCAAGTGAAATTGATTAATGTTATTGCTATGTTGTTGTTATTACCTCTGAGGTAGTTAACGTCCGAACTTTACTCGCTCAAAAACAAATTAGTACAAACTAGTCACCCGGGAAGGGTAATACTATGCTGTACTCAGCGAGGGCGGAACTGGAAAGTAGCTACTGGGTGAGGAGGGATATTAGAAGTACCCACAGACTAAGGGTGGTATTGAAAAGTTTTCACAGATTAAAGGTGGTATTGAAAAGTACCCACCTAGCCCCACTCACCGTCCGTTCAGAAGCCAATTAGACGAGAGAAAGGTTCCCCTCGTGTAGGAATAGGAATTAGGGGGCCGGGGAAGGCTTATGAGCAGGCTTACCTGCCTTCTGACAAATATGACATTCTATATAGAATCCGAAAGTCCAGGACAAAGTAAACAATGACTCGGATAAACGTGTTGAATACAAATGCAGATAGAACCATGAACAAAAGGTGTAAACTGAACGACAGAATACGAGAGGGAGCAACTACATATCAGAACTCCTGGAGAGAGAAAACTCTCGAGAATAACAGTCAATGCAATATGCCCAGAGGGGTACATCACTGAGAGAAGAAAGAGAACAAAGGTTTGCCATTAATGGTAGGAAACCAAAGAAGTTTTGAAGGGCTGAGAAATCTGAACATCATTATGTCCAACTATTACATAGCCTGAAGTATAAGGAACGGGGGAACCAAGGTTCACTTTTCCTTATACTTCCCCTTTTCCCCTTCTTTTCCTACTGGAAAAGTGAAACAGAGACAGAAATACGAAAACAATAAGAGTCACTATAACCATACTAGACAAAGCAGTACTGAGGGCAAGAAGGACCAATGTAAAATTACTGTTCATTAATTATTTCACTCTCGAAGACAGAACAGAACTCTTATACGCACTCGAGGCCTAAAACGTTGAGAACAACACTGGAGGCAATATTGTAAAATTTTACAAGCCAACATGGTAAAAGCAAGGAGGGAGTGATCCTGAATGGTGGAGCTTGCGGAGAAGAGAGACGTCTAATAAAAGATAGGCAATAAACGATAGGTAGCTGGATGGTCAAACAACCCCTGAGATGATGCAGGGCCCAGTCAGAATGTGTTAGGTCTACCTGGAGGGTGTTAGGGAGTCAACGCCCCCGCGGCCCATTCCTTGGCCAGGCCTCCCGGTGGATCAGGGTTACATGAATATCCATATCAAATGCAAGTGGAAATGCGAAATGCACAGAGAACACTTGGCTTTACCAGAGCTATTTGAAGTCAAAATGAGATGTGAAATAGCATAGAAAAAAATAGAATTTGAAGGACGATAGAGAACATGTAAGCAGAAGAACAGAAAGGAAAGCAGAATGGCAATTCGATTATGATAATGTACTGAAGACAAGATTAGTATTGAAACTCCATAAGAACCAGTTGTAGATCATGAGAGAAGAGTATGCGAGGAATTGAGTACAATAGTAAAGATATTCACGGAGGAAGCAGAAGCAAAAAAGATGAACAAAATAAGCCGGACAGCATTCACACAGCGAGGGAAGAAGCGTTGAAACTAAAGCAGCTGGTCATAACAAAAGCCAAGAGGCCTGATAACGCATCCTCAAGGGTAATGAAAGGAGCAAAAGCCTTATGTGAACCTCTATCAAAGAACTAGAACAAGTTACTAGAGGGAACAACTACGTAATAGCTGGAAAACTGCAAATGTAGTGTTACTATGTATGGAGGGAAACAGATGAGAAGCACTGAACTGCCAGAGAAGATTGTTCTTCAGCAGCTTTGTTCACCAGTGATACCAAGCTGAGAGAAGAAAAAGGAGAGTACAGATATGTTAGAGAGAACAAATAAGTGGCTAGTAGAATTCACCTCAAGCAAGTGTAAGACCATGCAGAATGAGGAGAGAGAAAACGTGAAAGAGGAAGTACGGCTCGGGACCTAAGAGAGTACACACACAGCCTGAGGAGAAAACTCTGGGAGTGAACATCACACGGAACACATCACTACAATAGTGAGTTAGAAGACAAATATTTAGATAATATTAGCTTTCTTTTGTTATCCTTTAATTTTATTCATCATAAAATTACCAATATAATAATAATGTTGCATACATTCAGTTAAGAACATACTTAGGAATAGTTGTAAGTACATACAGAGGTATGTAGTACACTCACAGGTGCGGCCAGAACGAGCAGAGTGCCAGGCTGGAGGCTGGTGAGTGTGTCAACCAGGCCCTTGGTGGCCCTAGGCTGCCAGGTGCGGTAGTAGGCGATAAGGGTAGAGGTGCCATGCCGTGGGTCAACGCACACTATGTGCACCCCGCGGTGTGCTGTGGCGTAGGTGGTCGGCGATACTCTCGTAGTTACGTTGTGTTGACGCAACACCTGCAAAAACACACAGTTTAGGTTACACACCTGTAAAGGATTTACACCTGTTGCATAATGTATTGCCTAGATTACATATCTGCCACAATACAAATAGCTTAGGTTAAATTACTGCTAGTGTACATAGTTTTGTCACAGGTATCTGAAGAATGCTGGTAGGCCAACTTTTAAATACTGAACATTAAAATGGTATAAAATACCGACAGGTTGTTAGGTAAGACACATATGCAACAGTTAGGTATCTTTATTATAATAAAGATACCTAACTGTTGCATATGTGTCTTTTAAATACTGGATGAACTATGGTTCCCATGCTCTTGAAATTCGTTCGTGATGAGACAGAAGGGCAATGAGAATTTCATATGGTGCCATTCGCAAATATGCTTCCATGGTTTGTTGTAAATAATCCCAAAAGCTATTCTAGGTGTAGGCCAGTCTACTTACCTGATATGCATCAACTCCTAAACATTTTTCAGCTAATTGAAGAATCGAGACACTTGTGCAACATATGGAAATCTTTATTAAAGAAACGTTTCGCTACACAGTGGCTTCATTGATGAAGTCACTGTATGGAGAAACGTTTCTTCAGTAAAGATTCCCATATGCTGCATAAGTGTCTCGATTCTTCAACTTGTCGGTTTTCAAAACCATTCATCATATCAGCTAATTGTTGAAGGAAAATTTACTGTAAAAAGGACAAATAAGAAATTCTCGCAAGTGTGGTAGAAAGATGCTAGGTGTGGTGTACGATAACAGGTATTGTCCCCAAGTGTAGTAGATACTTCGTGTAGTGCTGGATGGCTTATGTTGTCCACATGTACTGTATAATGATACTGAGTGTCTGCTGCAGACTAATGTATAAGGAGTACTTGTACTGATGCGTAATATTCGTCATTTGTCAGTTAATCTAAAAGAAAATGACAGACAAACTAACCTGCTTACCGTCGACGTTGACTTGCAGGGTCAGGGCGTCCACCATCACCTCTACACTAATGGCAGTCGAGACCAGCTCTGTGGGAAGGCGAGCAACAATGATATTAGAGACCAGCTCTATGGGAAGACTAGCAATATAATTTTGTTAAACCAGCTCCGTGGAGGACACCGGAGACGGGCTGTATGGGAGGACAACGGAGATCATCTCTAGGACACTGGCGGCCAGCTCTGTGGGAGAACAGTGGATACAAGCTCTGTGGGAGAACAGTGGAGACCAGCTCTGTGGAAGAACAGTGGAGACCAGCTCTGTGGGAGAACAGTGGAGACCAGCTCTGTGGGAGGATCCTATATATCAGCTACTTTTTCGATTTTACACTCCCAAGAGTTTTCCCAGCACGAGCCTGCGGGACATGCTCTTGGAGGTCGGTACTGGAGGTACTCATCCAACTGCTCGCCATTGGTCACCCAGAAGTGTACCTTTCGCACAGTTAAATCTATCTTAGCGCAATTCATTTCGACTTCCCGCCCCCATCTAAAATACATATATATATCACTCCACCCTGTTATTATCCACAACAGTCGACTTGCTTCCAAGTACTTACTTATTCTAGGTGAACAGCGGCTGCACATGTAAGATTTTCCCCGTACATCTCACCCAGCCCAGGAATAGAATCCTGGCACTTTCGCTTTGAGCTGCATTTTCTTCTCACTTAATGCTTTATATTTTAATTATTGTAACTATGATGTTATTGTCTGGATAGATTGCAGCCTTCACGGCCCTCCAGTTGTGGACAGCTCTAAATATAACAACCAGGAATAAGAACATAAGAAAGAAGGACCACTGCAACAGGCCTACTGGCCCATGCTAGGCACGTCTAAGTCACCTACTGACCTAAGCTACTGGCCCCTCTTCTTCGTGATATGACATTTACTGTCTCTGAATTAATGCAAAATATTGAAACTGACAGAATGTAGATACCGGCCTGTGAGTTTTAGGACTCACTTGCCATGGGTTCAAGCCCCACCCGTTCCCTGATTAGAATGATACTGTTCTGTATCGGCACTTTAAAATTCAGTGTCATTCCTGACAACCAAGACTTGACCTTCACCAAAGCTGGGTTACATTTATGTGGAATGAAGATATTGTGGAGTGTGTTTGGCTAACCATTGTTTCCTAACTCATAGATGAAAAATCCAGCAATACGGTGGAAAACTTTGGATTTTCCTAAATTCAGCATGTGTAAATATAATGCTGATTTGACCCTTTCGAGAAATTTTGAGTGAGGGGGTTTAGAACAGCTGATGAGTGATGCCGGGAGACACCATTTGTAATTTGTGAACACTGGTTGTCGTGGAAAATTCAGCTAACAATCCGGCGTCTTCGTGGCCAAATTGGGTTTTCTCGGCCTAAATTTGTAATAGGAACCTATGTTAATGCCCCCTGCTGAAGATTGGGACAGGAAATTTGCGGGACCTGAAGAATTACGTGTAGACGGCGGAAGACGAGGAATACGCCATCACTCACACAAGGAATGGTGCCATTAGTCCTTTCGTGTAGATCTTGAGCTGGCCGTAATTAAATGGTAAGTGGTAATACGAATTTCCTTTCTAAAAACACTTGTAATTTATGTCCACTAATTATATTCTGTGTACCCAGTAAGCCTAAGCATACACTCCACACAACTTTAATTTACCAGAGCAGCTAGTTTTAATATTGTAATTATTAATTTAAGGCCAGGTCTAGCTCTTTGTGAGAGTGGTAGGGAGTAGGCATCGATGGAGTCACAGTCCTGCGACCTACTGACTTAGGTCCCACTTACCTCACCCAGTTTACTTGCCTGTAATAATTCATTTAATACCTTGTAAACCTCATGCAGGTAATTTGCTCGCATAATTCACAATTACATTTCATTTAAATTTCGATATTTGCTAATTCAAAATTTTATGGATGTACGAGTCCAACTGGTTTGGCACTTTTTCATAAATAAAATCACTGATTAATAACTAAGAAACTTTACATATAAAAATTATTTTACTTCTTATACGTAATAAATTTTGAAAAAAATAGGTAAAATGTTCCAATGCGAAGTGGGAACCTCTCCAAAATATTTACGCTTGTAACGTGTATATTTTTTTTTTACTAATATGTGACCTACGTTAAAATCAAACTTCAAAGGGTTCAAGATTCTAGGTAAACAGCATGAAGTGAACACTCACCTTGTCGCCGGAGGAAGACATCACTGCTGACAGCTCTCAAAGACTTGTCACCTGGGAAATAATTAGAGTTAATCCCACTGATAAAACTTAATCATAAAGTTAATTTTAAATATACACATGTGAGGCTTGGTGAAACATTATAGTAACAACAGTCAAGGTTTAACAAAAAGCACTTGCAGTGCAGTATTAATTATAGTGAGAATTTTCAGTTTCTCAGCACAGAATATGAGGTCACAATCTCCACAGTATTTCTGGTACTGAGTCATTGTTTCAGCAGTTCACTAAATATTTACTAAAAATGTGTGCAGTTCGTTGGCTGAAGCTCATGCCAATGACTACCTAACTTCTCGCAGGTCTTAAATAACCTATTAATTTCTTTTTAGTTTATTCTAACTTCCTATCTTATAGCACAGATCAAAGACAGTTTAAAATACCGACAAGTACTATACTTGGCTCTTCTTTCCATCGTATAATACGTTATGAGTCACTCATGACCAGCGACAAGATTTACACTCTGGTCTTTTCCCCAGTGGTCCATTGGAAGATAATTAAAAGTAACACTGTTAAATATGCTATAACCTGTTAGCTGACACTTCTAAATTATTATGACAACAAAACAGTTACTGCCCTATCAAAGAACAAAAATAACAAAATTAAGGGAAATATTTTGTGAAAAACACAATGGGAAATAGTTATCAGAACTAGTTTTTTAAAGGGAAATCTACATATTCCTGAAGGAGTACCATTAAGTGGTTGCCTGAGTGCTTTTAGTGTTTGTTTATAACCTGAACACCGTATCCAATCAGCTTCCAATTTTCACTATTGGTGAACTGTAATTAGAAAAGAGTTCATGCAACTACTGGCATGGGCAGCGGCCTTCTGCTCAGATTTATATAGATTCCCAATTTGTTTTCCATGTGATAACTTGAGAAAGCCTCTGATGAACTTCAAGTGTCAGCACTGGTGTATCCTATCTACAAGTAGATATAGATATTGGAGTGTGTAGGTGCCAGTTTGACAATTATACTTTTTAAATGTGTAGTATTTTTTCCATTACGTAACTTAAGTATGCCTTTTTAGAATTTCAATCTTTGATACTTGACGCATTCTTATAAGAATTACAATTCTGTAGGTATAAATTCAGCATTTTCTTAGTGTAGTTAATACACTTCAAACCTATGAATTCAAAGCAATAATTAAAAAAAGCTTTGTTCATGGCTCAGACTTTCAGTGATGGTGTACTTTGTTCAAAGTAAAACTTGCATTGATTAAGGGCTTTATAAGTTTCAATTTGTTAATTTTATAAACACTTTTTTTCACGTACAAAAACGAGAAATTCTCTTTAAATCACCTTCAAATACTAAACGTTAGTATATTTTAATTTGAGAATTTTGGGGGGTTGATACTGGGCAGCGTACGTACAAATTTGCCAATTTACCAGTAATTGTCTGTACAGTAACTGGAGCATTCACTTTGATTGGCTTCAAGCATTTAGCATTGGCGTGTTTTTCTAAAAGGGAGCTTTACCTATACGTATTTTGGGTTGCGTAAGTTTTTTTTAACAATTTCATTAAACAGTTTTCCAAATAACTGGAGAATGCCTCTTCTGACTTGAATCCTCAGACGCTGGTTTATGTTTCTTAGAAAAATTTGGATTGATTTCAGGGAGTGTATGTGCCAGTTTGTCAACAGTGAAGCGCTGCTTTTCTTGCAATAATTTGTGAATGCTGCTTTTTTTTGACTGGTTTTATGTCTTCGATGTAAATAACTTGAAAATGAAAGCCATTTTAAATCAATGCACTTGGTACATGTACATTCTTTACTTTTCTTACCCATGCTCACTCTTGACAAGAAATAATTTCATCGTTTCGTTCTTCCTTCATGCCCTCTGTATACGTGGCTCGGTTTCTCGTCTCTGAAATCTTGACTTTTTGCAGCTCCTTCTCTCGCCTTGGCTATCTTTCCTATTACATAAACTGCCTACGCTCATGCTAATCGAACTTTTTCTCCTAAAGACAATTTTCCTGTAAAATCTTGTCGTACGTGTACCTTCCTTATATTTCCAAACTTCAAAATTTTAACAACACCTCTGTCCTCTCGATATCAAACTTTTGTCGTCAAACTAATATCCTTCCTAGTAATCTTATTTATACGCCTCCTACTCCACTTCCTGCTCTTTGTGTCCTCTCTAATAATTTGGTAACAGGCTTAAGGAGCACAAAACATGTGTTTGCCTTGGCGACACTAACAATGTTTTTGTTCTGCTTTGTCAGAGATCATAGCCATCCTTTAAACTGGTTCTCTGCTAACATCATCTATTCTTCGTCAAGGACGCCGTCTTGTTGAATCAGCTCTTATACATAGCTTTCCTAAAAAGAATCTTAGTTTTGGCTTAGTTTTTGTAGATGCCTGCCTATTCACTTTCGTTGTCAAATACTCTTAATCTTCGGAACATCCGTGACTTGACCTGACGTTAGCCGCCGCCTCCCCTACCTCTTCATAAGTCTTTCGTATTTTTCTTTACCTTTTCTGTCTTCTGCCTTAGTTTTTTCTTCTTTTTTTTCCGTGGGGTTCTCACCCTACGCCCGTGTGCCGGTACCTCTCCTAGAATGTTCCTCTTGTTCTGCACTAAAATTACTGTGATGAATGGTTTTGAAAACCGACAAGTTGAATTGAGACGCTTATACAACATTACCTACAGTTTACCTGGAAACGGTTTCAGAGGTCAACGCCCCCGAGGCCCAGTCTGAGACCAGGCCTCATGGTGGATCAAGGTCTGATCAACCAAGCTGTTACTGCTGGCCGCACGCAAGCTGACGTACGAACCACAGCCCGGTTGGTCAGGTATTGACTTCAGGTGCCTGTCCAGTGCCTTCTTGAAGACAGCCAGGGGTCTATTGGTAATCCCCCTTATGTATGTGGGAAGGCAACTGAACAGTCTTGGGCCCCGGACACTTATTGTGTTTGTCTCTCAGGGTACTCGTGGCGCCCCTGGTTTTCATCGGGGGAATGTTGCATCTCCTGCCGAGTCTTTTGCTTTCATATGGAGTGATTGATGTTCGTGTGCAGGTTTGGTACCAATCCCACCAGGACCTTCCAAGTGTATAATTATCATATATCTCTCTCGCCTGCGTTCGAGGGGAATACAGATCGAGGACCTTCAACCGTTCCCAGTAGTTTAGGTGCCTTATCGCACTTGTATGTGCCATGAAAGTTCTTTGTACACTCTCCAGGTCTGCAATGTCGCCAGCCTTGAAAGGGGCCGTTAGTGAACAAGCAGTATTCACCCCAGAGGAAAAAGCGTTTTGGCAG